GGGGGGTCCATCTATCTTGAAGGGAAGTAGAGACAATTTGCGACTGAAGGAGGCGGGGGTTGCGTAGTATCGAAGGTAAATTTAGCGAGAAAGTGGTCACAAAAGTTTGGTGACTTTCAAAGCTTGAGCATCCTCGGAAACTGCAAATGTACATTCCGTTGTGCCATTGATCAATGGTTTTTTTAATGTAAAATCCACAAAGAAATGTGTTTTTAAATGGGCAGAAAAAGTGCTGAGCCCAAAAAAGAGAATGAATTCAGTTATAATTGTCCTGTGAGCAGAAAAATATCTTTTTCTTGGGTTGAATTATTTTGACGAGCATCTGATCTCACCACAATGTGATACATATGTAGAATGTAGTGACCCTGTAGGCTACTGTAGGGGGGGGTATTTGTCTCTAGTGTGCGACTGTGTCGTCTGTCTGTGTGGGTTGTCTGTTTGACTGTGTCGTCTGTCTGTGTGGGTTGTCTGTTTGGCTGTGTCGTCTGTTGACAATATAGTAATGATAATAATAAATGACATTTATATGGCGCTCAACCCTGATTTAAGTTCACAGGCTCTGAACGCTGTATCATGCAATGCAAATACAATGCACAACATGTTCTGACCAAAAGAAAATCTCTTCAAATTTTCATTTTATTATTAATTTAAAAACAGAAATGACTTCGGCTGACATTTGAATAAATCAAAAGATTTGATCTCTCATTAAAGTACTAATTGGCATAGCGTCCCAGATCTTGGGGCCTTGATTTTCAAATGCCCTTTCACCTATTTTTTCAAATGTCATAGATGGTAAAGGAAATTTCTCTTTGTCAGCTGAATGTAGTCTAGACAGTGGTGTCATGTTTCTGAGATGGTAAAGGAAATTTCTTTTTGTCAGCTGAATATAGTCTAGACAGTGGTGTCATGTTTCTGAGATGGTAAAGGAAATTTCTTTTTGTCAGCTGAACATAGTCTAGACAGTGGTGTCATGTTTCTGAGAGCACGGCCTGCTCTGTCACGACAACTTGTTTGGTTCACTTGTCCTGTCTGTGTGCAGAAGAGATGCTCTAACTCCATAGTTACTGGTCGATTAATCATCTAATCTAACGATTTCTTTGACCGCACGTGTTTCAATCATTGACAATGACAACGATGACAATGACAATCATTATTCATCTCGCAGGGAGAAATTTGTCTTGGTCGTTAACAATGGCAGTAGACGTTACAAAAGTTGTGGGTATAATGAGGGATGAGATTGAAAGTCATTCTGTCTGTGTGTGTTTCATGTATGTGTGTGTGTGTGTGTGTGTGTGTGTGTGTGCAGGACCTTTCTTTTTCTACTGAATTTTGAGAGCTGTGTGCTTGATCATACCTAGACTATTCCATTCCAGTCAGAGACTTTCTTTCTGAGTTGTTTGCCTGATCATACCTAGACTGGACAAATCAGAGACTTTCTCTGTGTGTTTCCTGTGTGTGTATGCGCACTGGTGCGCATGCATGGGACCTTTCTTCCGCTGAATTGTGAGCACTGTTTGCTTGATCATTCTGTCTGTGTCTTTCCCTTAAATATGGTTCAGCTTTTTGTGTCTGTTGTGTTTATCATCTCTGGGCCTACTGTCCATCGCTCTTACCTGATCCATTACTTATAATTCTCGTAAATTTACAGTCTCCCCCCACCCCCTTACTGCTGGTCTGCTTATTCTTCTGCTCTTTTTACTGTAGGGTGTATTTGTTCAAAATTTGTTCATTTGCTTTGTGGACAATGTCTGGTATAAATAATGTGGCCTTTTTCTTTGTCCTCAATATCCCTGGTTTAAACACTTATCTTTTTTTAATCTAGTGAAAGATCACATGGTCATATTTTTTTTTATCTAGTGAAAGATCACATGGTCATCTTTTTTTATCTAGTGAAAGATCACATGGTCATATTTTTTTTTATCTAGTGAAAGATCACATGGTCATCTTTTTTTCATCTAGTGAAAGATCACATGGTCATCTTTTTTTATCTAGTGAAAGATCACATGGTCATCTTTTTTTCATCTAGTGAAAGATCACATGGTCATCTTTTTTTTATCTAGTGAAAGATCACATGGTTATCTTTTTTTTCATCTAATGAAAGATCACATGGTCATCTTTTTTTCATCTAGTGAAAGATCACATGGTCATCTTTTTTTTATCTAGTGAAAGATCACATGGTTATCTTTTTTTTCATCTAATGAAAGATCACATGGTTATCTTTTTTTTCATCTAATGAAAGATCACATGGTCATCTTTTTTTTCATCTAATGAAAGATCACATGGTCATCTTTTTTTTCATCTAATGAAAGATCACATGGTCATCATCTGGCCTATTCACTGTTTTTCCGTTTGCATTCACTGGTTGTTGTTTTTTAACCTGTTCACCTTCACCGTTTTTTTCCTGCATCGCCTCAGGGAATGAAGATGGGGAGGATGAAGAGAGAGCCCAGGAAGGTATACCTTCGTTGTTCTCTCCCTCATGAGACAAAAAAAACCCAAAACCACCCCAAAAAACCTGGCTGTCTCTTTGGTTGTACCCATTACTCATTTCTGTCTCCGTCATGTCTTTTTTTCTGTTTTGGTGTGGAAGTTTTATAACCTGTGGGTGTTACCTTTTTTGAGTGTAGATATATATTGTTTTTAAAAAATCCTCTCTCTGTGTGTCTTCATATTTATTATATATATATATATATATATATGCGCACACGTTTTTTCATTCTTCTGTTTCATGTTTATTTTGGTTCTATTTATTCTTCTGTATTCATTGTATTTATTTTGTTTCTGTTTATTCTTCTGTATTGTATTTATTTTGTTTCTGTTTATTCTTCTGTATTGTATTTATTTTGTTTCTGTTTATTGGCTTTCCTCATACTCTGTGTGTAGCGATAGATCTGTACCACACGTCAGTTATCTTTTTGTTTCTTTCTCTTTGTTCCCTTGTCTTGTCTGCCGAATCCTGTTCCGGTGGCTTATTGTACGTACAGAACTGCTGGTCTTTCTAGAACAACCGTGGGTGGTTGGCGGGTGCTCTGGTGTGGTTTGCTCCTTTTTTCCCATCAGACATTTGTCATCCTGTTTCTCCTCCTCACTCTGTCTGTGTTGTCAGCTTTGAAGAAAGGGAGATACTTTTAATACTCCTGGCAGAAACAGAAGCCAGTTCCTGGGTGCTTTGAGAATTATTCCCAATTTCTCGGGTCTTCCTCCTCGTGAGGAATCAAGCTGACCTGTTCTTCAAAAATGTCTCGTAGAAATATATGAGGCGTGCCGTCATAATCAAATTTGTGGATTGTAAACTGGTGCCATTTTCTTCTAGTTAATAATGTCTTTTATCATTTCATACAATAATTTGTACAAACCCAGCCTTTCATCCCATTTATCTCTCTGTGCCCATTGGCTTATAACATTCTGTTCTTTCCCTATTTTGTATCTGCCTGTTTATCTTGCTTTATTTTTTTCCCTTCGTTAAATCATAAAATGGCGATTGTCAGATTGGTGGTGAGCTTTTCTTTACGCCAGGGCCAAAACGTTGTTTGTCTGAGATCGTCTAAACTGGGTTGATGGGAAATAGAAAACGTGTAGGAATCTGAGAAATGGCCAAAATATGTGCATAATGAAATGGGAAATGATGGATCTGATTAGCGACTGAGGAAAGCATGTTTAAATCTCTAACAGATGTAAGGCTGCTACTATTAATAGGATTACGGTGTTGCTCCTTTATAGACTTTTCTCTCTGTTTTCTCCGAGAGGGAAGAGAGAGGCTCTGATATCAGAGGAAATGTGGTGGTATATTGGGAATCTGTCTGTGGGCCACAGGAGTTCTAGTGATGTCATATAAGAAGGGTTCCTGCGGCCTCCTTGAATTGAAGGAGTCCTTGAAAACTCTCTTGAATTTGCATTCAAGGAAACATCTCCTTGAAAACTCCTTGAATTTGAGGAACTTCCTTGAAAACTCCTTAAATTTCACAGAATCGGACTTGTACAGAATTTTTGTTGGGGAATCGAAACTATGATTTCTTTCGGACTAGTGTAGGCCTATTGGAAATGGGCTTTCGGCATGACTTTCTTCACCGAATCTCATTGAATTTTTAAAATTTCTCCTTGAAATTGGTGGGAAGTTCATGGCAGGAACCCTGTGTAAGCCTTTTATCAGAGGGAATGTGTGCTGTCCCTTAATCCTTTTCCCACTTATTGTCTGAAATGAAATTATGGGTGGGTTTTTTTTTACCACTGTTTGACCGTAAAGATTGCTGTGCGTTGTATTATCTCTTTGTGTGTGTTGTCAGCTACTAATAGCTTTCTATCTTATTTTGTTATGTTTGCAGTTGTTGCTATTTCCTTGTAACCCTATATTCATATATTGTATTATATGTATTATTTGCCTTTATAATCTGATGTAGCCATGACGTGGGTGCTAATATATTGTACAGACTTTAACGTGTGATTCTTCCAGCTTACCTCGCTACCGGTTTTATTTTCATGGTGTCTTGGGGGACTTTTTATTTTGGATTTTTTTATAATTTGTTCCAAGTTTTCAGCTTTGAGGAAGAGTTTGTTCTTAGAAACTGTATCTTTTTTCTTTTCTTTCTTTCTTTTTTTTTGGGGGGGGGGGGGAGGGGATGGGAGGTTGTTGGAAGTGTTGAAAACTGAACGGTCATGTCCTTGTTAAAGGCACTTTACACAGATTTTCCTCACTTCAGTTAGGTGGGAATGGGTACCCGGCCATAGACAGCGAAAGATCCTATCATATATTAGTGTTTTAGCGCCTATAAATGGCAGCTTGCACTGTATGGTTCCCAGGAACCAGGAAGTTGAGGTTGTTTCAGAATGCTCTCAGTTCTGCTGGGGTAAGAGTATAGATTGTAAAGCGCACAGAGCTTGCTGTTGAGGGCGATTTTGCGCTATACAAATGTTATCTATTATTATTATTATTATTATAAGTACAAGTTAAGACGAGCAAAATAAGAAAGACTCCAGAATTCTCACGCTGTGAAACCATCCCATCTTTTTCGAATACTGGTTTTTTTTATTATAATAATAATAACAATAATAATATTTCTTGGGGCATTAAAATATTACCATCGCATCCTCCCCCCGAAAAAACCCAAAACAAAACAAACAAACCCAACTGACCCTAAGCTGTCGATGATGTCGGGATAACTAGGGTACTAGGAGCACGGACAAGTGTGGCTGTGAACTTTTCTCATTGGGAGGACTCTGTGGGATGATGACGGTAGACTTGTGGGCATGCTGCTCTTCCGGGTGTTCTTGTTTTTGGGGTACCTCGATTCCTTACATGCTTTTCCTGTTATTTTTATTTATTTAATTCTTTATATATATATATATATATATTTTTGTAAAATTTATTTATTTGTTATTTTCTAAATTTATTATCTGTTTGGGGTTTGTTTGTTTTTTTAAAGAAAAGAAAGCCTTATGTACTGAATTTCTGTGTAACTTTCTTTTCAAGTGAGACACTTCCTCAGCTCCTATTATCCGTGTATTTACTAGTGGAAATTTCTGTTGATGGCTATTTTTCAGACACTGATCCCCGCCCCTCATTCATGTTTTTTTTCTTTTTGTCCCCAATTACTTATTGAAAACCCTGCACTTTGTAAATATCGAAAGTTGCTGACTTTAGTAGCTTTTTAAAAATTTGATTTTTTAAATAAATATGGGGGGGGGGGGGGGCTCTGAATGTTTGGGGGATGGTTTGTTTGCTTTAATTTGATTAACATGTATGTTTGGTAGGGTTTTTCATAGTTGACCATTGACCTTTTTTGATAATATTTTATCTTTGCCCCAACCAAATGTGTGTGAAATTTTAGCTCAGGGTATAATACTCCTTAAAATTGACACTTTTTTTTTTCCATAGAACTCGTTTAAGACTTTTGTCCCGCGGTAAATTATTGTTAACTACTTTCTCTGATGTGACTGGTGCAAAGATGGTAATGTTTCGGGGGGGGGGGGGGGGGGGGGTTCTTTTTAAAAAATACAAGGCAGTTAAGTGGAAATGTGTTCAATAATTAAAGGTAAGATGGGAAGATGGCGCCGTTTTACTTCTTTTCTATTCTTCTGTGGTTTCTTTTTGCCCGTCTCTTTTGCTTTTTCCTAGTATGAATTTGCAGCTTAAGTACTGACAAAATATATTTCTAATGGTTTAACAAGCATCCTTCATGCTAGAAGGGCTAGTGAAAACTCTCAAGCAATCAAAAGACAGGAGAGAAAGACGTGTGTTTTAAGAACCTACAGTTTATGTTTTGCTTTTCAAGTGTCGTCAACAAACTACTAGAAATGTTCTGAGGAGCATTTTAGTCGTAGTCAATTCTTCTTCTGAGAAAGCAGGTGTGTAGGGTAGTATTATTGAATTGAGTACATTTGAGATTGCAGTAGACAGTTCTACTGAGAAAGCAGGTGTGTAGGGTAGTATTATTGTGTAGTATTATGTAATCCTGTACATTTGAGATTGCAGTAAAACTAGAATTTTCATTCTCTTCGATGAGTAGCCTACTTACAGATTGTCTTTCTCTTTCTCTCTTCTCTCTTTCCTTCCTGTATGTTGAATACTAACAAATGGTTTTTCTCTTTCTCTCTTCCCTCCATCCTTCCTTCCCGTACGTCCACACCACCACCACCACCACCCCTCGTTGGGCCTGTGGTTACAGAAGACGAAGAGTTCCAGAAGCCGGTGGTTCCGAGCCACGAGCCTGTGATGGGAGAGGGGGACCTGCCCCCGCAGGTGGCTGCAGCGTGAGTCGCCACGACGTGTACCGATAGAAACTTGACTGTATGACTTGTACAGATAGAAACTTGACTGTATGACTGTATGACTTGTACAGATAGAAACTTGACTGTATGACTGTATGACTTGTACAGATAGAAACTTGACTGTATGACTGTATGACTCCATTGTCATTGTCATTATTTTCCCCCCACCGGGGCAGTGTCACTGACTGAAGTTGTCTTTAGGCCATTCCCAAAGTGCGGATATGAACTTGTTCTTATACACAGTAGAATTGTCAATTATCTGCATTGTATCTGTCTAGATGTGCAACTTTTGTAATTTAATTTAAAGTGATTTATTGCCCCTTTCCCAAAATTTGCTTTACAATGACAAAATAGCTATCAGTCAACAGAATGAATTATATCCGATTATTAAAACAAAATGTTTTCCCACCACTTCCTGTCCACAGCCGTCAGTTGGCCCGGCCGTCCAGCGCCCGCCCCGCCCCGCCCCGCCCCAAACAGGAAGCCAGTGAGTCGGAGCCCGCCATGAGGTACGTTGAGTTTCCTCCCTTTTTTTGGGGGGTGTTGTGCTGTCTCGTCTTTCATCATGGGCTGACACGATGTGAGATCCACAGAAATCGATGTACAGAAAAGTGGGAAGACATGGAATAACATCAAGAGGCTAGCCCAGGATAGAGGAAAGTGGGGGGTGTTTGTCCGTGGCCTATACCCTGGTGCAGGGTGAGAAAGGCAATGATGATGATGACACGATGTGGTGGGATCTGTTATGTGGCAATAGATGATCAAATACGGTTTATCGATCTAGAGGGAAAATTTTGGGTGGATATTTAATACCAGAACACGAACGTACAACGATGCCCAAACTGAGGAGTGCGTGGAGATTGGAGTGGTTCGTGAGTGGTTGGTGGGGGCTCTGGTGTGGTTTGCTCCTTGTTTCCTATTAAACATCTGTCGTCCTGATCTCTTCTCCTTCTTTTTTGTGTTCGTTACTCCCTTGTAGCACCTCTAATCTTTCAGCACTTATATGACCTTATTGTGGTGCGAGTTTCGTAAAACTCTTACCAAAAAAAAAAGGCTTAAAAGGGGTGGTGGTTTGTGTTGAAAACTGTCTGTATATGATGAGGTGTTGCAAGTGCCGTAAAACTCTTACCAAAAAACAAAAAAGAAAGAATGTAGTGGTTTGTGTTGAAAACTATATATATGATGAGGTGTTGCAAGTGCCGTAAAACTTTTACCAAAAGGAAGAAAAAAAAAAAAAAAAAAGAAAGAAAGAAAGAAAGAATGCAGTGGTTGATGTTGACAAGTGTCTGTATATGATGAGGAGAAAGGTCTATGTCTATGTATGTGTCTATGTCTATGTGTGTGTCTATGTCTATGTGTGTGTGTGTGCTCTTTCCCCAGACTGGGCACGGGTCAGCCGGCGAACCTGATCGTGGACGACAACGACGACGATGACGAAGATCTCAACTTCCTGGTGGAGGAGTCAGCCCCGCCCCCGCCTGAGCCAGACATGGTGAGTCCGTGGTTGTTTGTTGTTGGTTTTTTGTTTACTTTTGTTTTGAGGTTTGGGTTTTGTCTGTTTTTTGTTTTTTCTTACTTTTGTTTTTTGGGGTTTGTGTTTTGTTGGGGTTTTTTTGTACTTATATTTTTGGGTTTGGGTTTTGTTGGTGGTTTTTTGTACTTATATTTTTGGGTTTGGGTTTTGTTGGTGTATTTTTGTACTTATATTTTTGGGTTTGGGTTTTGTTGGTGTATTTTTGTACTTATATTTTTGGGTTTGGGTTTTGTTGGGGGTTTTTTTGTACTTTTATTTTTTGGGGTTTGGGTTTTGTCTGGGGGGTTGTTGTTTTTTTTATTCTTGGGGGTGAAGAGAACTGGGGACTAATGCGTTCTTAGTCTTACACTTTGGCCTACACTTTTCGCACTCTTGTTTTTGTTTCTTTATTTTCAGGTTAGTCCTAGGATATATGTAGAGTTGTTTTGGGTTTTTGAGATATTTTATTATAGTCAGAGTTGTGAAGTACTGAGAGTGAATCGTATATCTGTTGTATAAGGTCTTCAGGGCCCCATGTTCAATCAACATCCCACTTATGTATGGCTGGATTTAGCTTTCCGTTTGATGTGAGTGAGTTTGGTGTCTTTGTTTACTGAAGGTCCAAGTTCTATGTCTTGCCTCGGAAATTCTAGAATCTGTTTTTATTTACTAATTTTGCTAACTACTGTCTTTGGTTGTCGATAACAGTTGGCATCATTTCAACTGAGGGGAACCTTTCCTAGAAAGAAAATATTTACCTATGGTAAAGCTGTCTGTGTCCTTGTTTGGAATTAATTAACTGTGTCTAGTAAGGCTCTGAGCTCATACCCTTCTCTTTTCATCTCAAATTCTCGTCATCCCTGGTGTTATCGCTGTGGATTCAGTGACCATGCCGGTGTTCCTTTATCTTCCACATCCCCCCCACCCCCCCCACCCACGCCCCCTGTGTGCCACAGACACCTTCCAAGCCAGCGGAGGAGGACGACGCTGAACACGGTGAGTCGGGTCACAGGTTGTGTTGGGAGATGAATACGTCTTTCCTCATCTCCTCAGAGGTGCGGAGTGGGTGGTTGGCGGGTGCTCTGGTGTGGTTTGCTTCTTCTTTCCTATCAAACGTCTATCGTCCTTATCTCCCCTCCTTCTTTTATGTGTTTGTTACTCTCTTGTAACACCGCTAATCTTCGGCACTTACATGACCTTATTGTGTTGCAAGTGCCGTAAAACTCTTACTAAAACATAAATTTCTTAATTGTCTGTGTTTTCGACCCCCGTCGACACAGTTTAGATCATTCAGTCTGGTGATTTAGAGAAAAGAGCAAAGATTGTTTCATTCTGACAGTACCTCTATTTTAAGAAATAAAAACAACATATTGCCATCAGTGCCGGTTATAACGTAGCTTCAACTATTATTGCACGGAGATAGTTAAAACCCTATTCTCATGTTGTGGCTTATCTTGCACAGAGTCTTTGATCCAACTCTGGCCGCTCAAACCCCTCCTCTCACTGATTTATTTCCCTCTGTGCCTCTGCACAATTCCTCAGATTCAGTTTACGTTCCATTTTTGTCTCGGTACATCTCCATGTTGTTGTTGTTGTTGTTGTTGTTGTTGTTGTTGTTGTTGTTGTTGTTGTCGTCGATCCAGAAACATCTGGGCTCTCGCCCTTCTGTCCAATGCCATGTAGTGATAAGTGCAGGTCTGCTGCAGTTGCTGTAATGTTCCATA